TCCCTTTGATATTGGTGAAGTAAGGACCAGCAGTGTTTTCCAGGTTCTTACTGGAAATTCAATGAATTAGTCAGGACAATTGGCAAATGTGACAGATCACTGTTTATTTTGGGGCAGGAATAAAAAGAAAAGGAAAAGAGAACAAAAGAAGCACCCATGGAGAAAAGAACTTTGAAGGAAAAAAGATATTTCCTGCAAGTAGAAGGACAAGAAAGGCAGTGGGTACACAGTTGATTGTTGCTTTTTTTTGGTACCAGGGATCAAACTCATGACTTCGTGCTTGCCAGACAGGCGCTTATGCCACTGAGCTAAATCCCTGGCCCACTGTTATTCGTTTGATAATCTTTTTTGATAGTTGGTCCAGGTGGTTCCACTTGATCTTGCACTAAAAGATTGGCATCAAGTGCTAGGCTTGGCTTCTTCTCATGTCAGAAGATTGGTACTAGGTACAGGGCTAGCTGGGTCTCATGTCAGGCTTGGGAGCTGCTGCCCTGTGTCCATAGTAATAAGTGTCTTCAAATGGCAGGTCAAGCCCTAGTATCCTACTTTACCCTGCATGGAATACCATGTCATCTTTGAGGTTTCTCTTGTGTCACAGCCTCTCTTCCAAGCTGTTTGCATCTCCAAGACAGTGAACTACCCTTTTCTGTGTTAACACTCAGCCCTATACATAAAAACAGTTGTTTTGGGGGCTATTGTTTTACGATAACTGGTGTATGATCTTCATGGCTAGGTAGCTTTTGTTGTATGGAAACAGAAGCTAAGAGGGACTAAACGATGTAGGCATGCAAGAATATAGTGACAGAGTGTTAGAACTGATGCTTACTCTGCCTTTCCAATTTGGGTTTTAAACTTTTCCTTTTCTCTTTCTTTCTTTCTTTCTTCTTTTTTTTTGACAAGGTCTTGTGCTGTAATTTAGGCTGGTCTTGAACTCACATCAATTCTCCTGCCTCATGAGGATTACAGGCACGCACCACCACACCTGGGAACTTTTCCTTCTCACAATGTTCCAGAATTCCTTCTGCTACTATAGCCATCACAGTCTTTTTTTGAGGGAGGATATAGTCCTTCTGTTCCTTGTGTTTAAATTTTTTAAAATAATTTTTATTGTGTATATTGAAGCCATACATGTTGCCATGTATACAGTAAACAGATTACTAGAGTATAGCAAATCAATACCCAGCGTCTCAGTTATTGTTTGTGATAAGAACAGCTAAACTCTATTCATTTCGCACAAATCCCACAGGCAGCATGTTGGGTCAGTTGCTTCTCCACCTTTTAACACTTTGTAAAAGCTAAACTCTTTCCCCCACCTCCTCCACCCCTTTCTGGCAACTAGCTATTGAGTTTTGTTCGCTCCCCAGTTCTATGTCCCTTCCCCGCCGAACACTTTAAAGAAGCATTTTGGAATCTGAGATTGAGCGGGGATGAGTCACTGACCCAAGACTTGTAAGAAGTGGTAGTGACTTTAGTTTTAGCTAACCTCCAGACTTTAGCTGCAGTCCGAAAATAACTCTTTCTTCACTTTCACTCTATCCTCTTGCTGACTCTACTCAAGCGGCTCAGCAAGATTCCTGGGTTGGGATTTTTATGACCTTGATTCTAGTGTCAGGTGAAAACCTCCAAACTGGGTCTGGTGCTGCATTTGGAAGGCTGAGGCAGGAAGACTGCCTTGAGTTCAAGGCCAGCTTGAGTCACACAGTGTGTTTAAGAAGGCAGCCTGGATACATAGCAAGACTGTCTCAAAAAACAAGCAGCCCCGTTGACTACTAGCTTTAGTTTCTTTCAATGGGGTAACATTAGTTTTGTCTATCCCCTTAAATACTTGAGCCAGACTGTTTATTAGTACCCTTCTCCCTATAGTCTCTCAGATAAAGTTAGGCTCTGGACAACAAAGACTGGGAATAAGGCCAGTGTTTACTGTTACTGAGGATCCACCCAGCAGACCAACAAAGAATCAGGAATTTCTAATTCCTTCAGCAATTTGGAGCTCTGAGAACATCTATCCACTCAGGAAAGCTGGGAAAGGTGGCCTGCTCTTTGGGATACTATTTTCCTTATCCCAGTGTATTATAATTATGTAATCCACTTGCTTCCTACTATCCTATGAGGGTTTTTTTTTTTTTTTTTTTTTTGAGACCGGGTCTCGCTATGCAGATCAGGCTGGCCTTGAGCTTACTTTGTAGCCTAGGCTGGTCTCGAACCTGCAACAATCCTCCTGCCTCAGCCTCCCGAGTGCTGGGATTACAGGCAGGAGCCAGCATGCCCCGCTACCCTATGAGTTCTTAAACTATATAATCTGTATCTTATTCTATTCATTGATACCTTCCTGGCCAGCATTCTCCTGCACATAGAAAATGAAGCCTCTGGCTTCTATCATTATCATTATCCTACTACTTCCTGCTCTTAGCAAAGCAAGCCAGAATGAATCTTAGTCAAGATTCCTTTTCTGTTCTGATCTTCCAATCTTATTTTCTAACTGTCCTGGCCTCTTCACTATTTCTAACATTTTCAGGAATGCTTTTGCCACATCTGCATGGTTCCTTCCTTCAATTCCCCCAAGTCTGGTTAAAATTGTATTATAAATGGGGTTCACCCTGATAGCTCGATTTATTGTTTCATTGTTTCTTCTTCTAGTGTTCCTTATAACCCTTAGCCTACTTTTTCCTAGAGCTCTCAACACCTATTTCACAATTCTGTCCCCTAGAATAAAAGCTCCAAGAGGTAGAGTATTTTTCTCTCTTCTCATTGACACTTCTTGAGCACTAAAATACCTTAGAAGGGCTAGAGATTTAGCAGAGTGACAGCGCCCTACCCGGCAAGTGTAAGGTCCTAGGTTCGATTCCTGGTACCCTTTCATCCAAAAGTACTGCAGAATCTGCGAACTAAGTAGTGATTGGCAAATATATGTTGGGTGGACGAGAAAATGAATGTTGAGAATCTTGTTAGAGTACTATAAAGAAAAGGTGTTATGTGACGACTTTGAATCCCCAGGGACGCAGGGCATGGAGTTGCTTGGCAAAGGGCAGGTGTTTAATATTTGCTGAAGGAATGGAGTGCTCAGATCTTAAAATACTGGAAGTCTTTATCTGATCTCTTTGACAGAAAAATAACTTTCCAAGGCCAAGTCACTCAGGTCTCTCTTATTCCTCTCATCCAATTAACCTAGCGTTTATCTAAAGAATGCCTCCGTATTCAAATATGAAACATTTATGGAGTTTAAGTGTCCTCAGTGCTGTACAGAGAGTAGGTTAATGAAGCAACAGCAAATAATGTATCGCAATGTAATTAAGCGTGCAATTACAGGGAAGATTATCAGTGCTAACAGTTCAGAGACTCAGTGAAGACTGACGCAGAAGTAAATCCCAAAGTCCAGCAGGCGTCGGAAATACCTTTCTTAATGCTCCCTCCACCTGTTGATAGCAGGACTATAACTCAGACAGTGACCCTGAGAGTCTGAAGGCCTTTCAGAGTTCCAAGTCCTTTGTTTAGTAGAGAGAAAATATGACTCCGCAAAAGAAAGGCCACCGCAGAAGCGGGCCTAGAACCCGCAGCTCGTGAGGTTTTTAAGAGCAAGTGTCCTCAGGGAAGATCCGCTTCTGCCTTCGCAGGGCCCTGTACCTCCTCGGTGTGTGAGGTCGGAAAGGGGCCAGATTTCTTGGTGAAGCTTCGGTGCCTGCCACTACGCTGAGGTGGCACAGGTTGGAAGGCAGGGAGAGAGGTCACGAGGCCACATTCCATATGGTGCACGGGACCCCTGGAAACGGTCCGGGGCCGCAGGTCCTAGCAATCATCGACTGCGGGGCAGCTTTTGCCAACTGCATTCCCCAGACGTCACTCTGAGGGACAGGGACCAAAATCGCACGGAACTGTGCGCGGCAATTGTTAACACCAGTAACGCGGCGGTGGAGCCACTGAAGTCCCAGGGCACTATTTGCCTTGGCGGAGGAATCCAGTGTAAGTCGCGAGATCGCGGAGGGCCCTGACGCTACCGCCGCTGCCGCCGCCGTCGCCGACGCCAGTACGGTGGCGCAGAGACGTCGCGGGAGGCGAGGGAGGCGGGGGCGTGGGGGGGCGTGGGTCGGTAAGTAGTTCCGGGTGCGCGGCCCCGGATGTTGGCTGCTCCCGCTGCCGCCGCCGCTCTCGGCGCTGCTTCGGGCCCTGGCGGCTCACAACAGGCGCTATTGGGACCCTTCTTAGGGGGCGGAGTCGCACGCAGCGGCCGGGGGCTCGGCCGGGCCGTCCCGGCCTGCGCAGCCTGAGGTGAGTGCCAGGCGCCCGCGCCGCCGGGCCGGGGCGACGGGCGAGGAGGCGGGGCTGGGGCATCTCCCGGGACCGAGGCAGGGGTTGCCCTCCGCGAGACGCTTTCTGCTTTCTCAGCCGCTGCGCGCTGCGTGGTGAGCGGCGGGCGGGGCGGGGGCTCTGGCCGGGCCTGGCGGGGCGCGAGGCTTGGGTGCCTCCCTCCCCCACGGCGCTTCTCAGCTGCTGCTGCCCCTCAGCTGGGGAGCGGCGGCTCCGCGCCTCCGGCCCCTCCCCCAGATGGGGCCCGGGGGAACCGGACGTAGATCGCTGAGCTCGGAGTCCGAGGGCAGCGGGCGTCTCCTCTCCGCGACTCGCGCCCTCGTCTGGGCCAGCCCCCGGGCCCCGGCGCGATGCGAGTCCTTCTCTTCAAGCCTGTGGGCGCTTTTCGGTCCGGAAGGCGGCTAGTACCTTGTGCCTTCGGGGTGCCCTTCGGCGGAGGAGGCCCTCGCGAGGGGCCTGCGTTCCCGCCCATTCTTTCGCTGTGTCCTTTGCTGGCATTGGGGCAAAGGCAGCCGTTCCTTGCGGATGTGTTGGTGTCCTGTGTGTGTTGCATCCTGCCCACGTGGTAGGGTGTCCCGTCCCCCCCATCCTCTCCATTTTTGCAGCTGGTGAAGAGGGAGGTTAACGGGATGGTTTTTCCTTTGGTGATTTCCTACGGGTGATGTGGAAAGTGCTAAGGTCAGTTTGCTTTGCAGAGCCCTACAGTTGGTTAGATAGAAGAAACCAAGAGTTTTGTACTCTCTGAAATTGAAATCAGTAAGGGACATACCAGAGCTTAGTTTCATTGACTTTTTTTCTCATCTCCCATCAGCTCTTCTTTCTCTTCTCTCGATCCTAAAATGAGAATAAGCTCCTGTTACTGGTGCTTTGATGCGTATAGTTTTCATATTTCTGTTTTATTTTTTGTGTGTATGATTGGCAGAGGTTTTCCATTTTGGTTGTTGCACTAGTTTATGGCGTTCCTAGATGTATTTATTCCTGAATGAGTAGAGTTGGGGATTGTATCATGTATTTTCTTTTTCCTAACAATTATTTTATTTTTCCTTCTACTGTATTTTGTTCCCTCGTGAAGAAGCATACATGTCATATAGGTGTGTTATATATAGTTTTTTCTTGCAAGATAGCAGTAGTTTCACTTAGTTTCCTTTTTTGTGGAAGTCCTTTTATTTCACTTTTCTTTCTGTTGACTATGTTGGACTCTAGACACCGGTTTAGAAACATGCGGTTTGTATACTTTTTTCCCTCCTATAATGTCCTTTCCAGGTTAAGTTTCCATCGTCCTGTGTTTAGCTTTTTTGAGACCACAGATTGCTCTCTTTACAGGGAAGAGACTACTGTAACAGTGAGAGAAATCTTTCATTCCTTCTAGACCTTAGCACATACTTACAGTAAAGCAGTACATCTCTTAGAGTTTTGTTTCTTCCCTAACTGGGTGGGGTATATAAATGTGGTTGACTTTTTTAGTTTCTTAAGTAAATCTGAGAAGTTGTCTTTTTCTGGTCTTGTGTTGGAGTTACCGAGAGAATCTTGTTCTTGGCTTTGTGCTGCTGAAGATCCTGGAGAGTTTCTCATTCCATTATGAGATTTTTTTGGATGAAGCCAGAACATAATTATTTTGGCCTTTTTAGTTAGTTAGTTTGGGTGAAATAAAAAATTTTACTGTTTCGAAGTCACTCAGTTCCTAAATAGCTAGCATTCTGTTGTTTTTCATATTATGTAGTCTTTTTGAGAATGAATTAAAATCATGTGTGTGTGTGTTATTGGAAATTGAACTCAGGCCTTCATATTGAATTGTATCTCAGCCCTTCTAGAAAATTTTTTTATTTCAAGACTAAGTTTTGCGAAGTTGCCCAGGCTGGGGTTGAATTTGGAGTCACCCTACCCAGCTTCCAGAGTGCTGAGATTAGAAGAGTGCACCATTATACTAGCCTTGAGTTATATTTCTAATAATTGTTTTATTTCTTTTATTGGGTATAATTGTTAGTATAGTCTTCCTTTTTCTTTCTACATAGAACAAAAACACTGAAATACAGATCGTGCCTGCTTTTACTGTGCTAAGTTATGGGTGGGGCAGTGGAAAGCAGTGATTGTCTTTTGATACAATGTGAAACATTTTTTAGTAAGTCAGTCAACATTTGTGTACTGTACTTCTGCAAAGGACCGAGCTGCCTATTTGTGAAGTAGTCTTATGAAAAAACTTGGAAACTAAAATAGGGGTCTCTTTGAAAAACTCAACAGTTGTTGAAAGAGGAACAGAAGTTTCTTTTGTTGGAGAAGCAGCGCTTGTACATCAAAATCACTGAACAACCAGGTATGGTGGTGCCTGCCTGTAATCCTAGCACTTGGGAGGCTAAGGTAAGGAAGATTGCTGTCAATTCAAGGCCAGCCTGGGCTACATAGTAAGTTTAAGGCTACCCTGAACTAGATAGCAAGACCCTGCCTCAAAAAACGAAAACAAACAGACAACCTACAAAATCACCAAATAACATCCAACTCCCGTTGGAGTTAAAAGTGCAACCAAGGTCAAAGATTTATGTGATATGTGAGAAAAATTCACAAAGTGGAAAGAGTTTTTCCAGGAAATCAAAGAGGCATGTGCAAAGGCAGAGAAATGGCAATAGACAAAAAATATGAAGGACCTTGACTGTCACAGATAATCTGTATTGGTGAATAATAAGTGAAGTTGGGATTGATGAGGGTGTTCATGGAGGGTCTTTCAAGGATAGAGTTAGTTTGATCGGGTACTCTAATTCTCTTCAGAAAGTGGGGAGACCAAGGCAAAAGGGTCGTTGCAAGTTTGAGGCCAGCCTGGGCTAGGAAAGTGAGCTCAACGCCAGGCTGAACTGCCTAGTGAGACCCTGTCTCAAAAAGCCAAAAAACAAACAAACAACAAAAAGAAGGAGTAAGATGTCCTGACATATAAGGTACTGGTTGAATAGCTAACATTAAGTACTTATGTATGCCAGACATTTTTCTGAACTATGTGTATTACCTTACTGAAACGTAAGGGACTTCAGGCAAGTTACTAAACCTTATGCATTTAATCATTATCTAGAGAAAGGAAATGCAGATTTTGTAGTGACTGGACTATAACTGGTAGTAAAATGTGAGTAGATATGTATAAGATGGGAAGTATAATGGAGAAGGCTTTGAGCTTTGGAATTTTGAGTCACATAATAGACTAATAGGTAAAACATTCTGAGAAGAATCAGGAAGTACATTAGTGGCACAGAAACCAAAGATAGGAAGATTTTTCCACCACAAAGGTTGATAGTACCAAATTCAGTCTTCCAGTTCAGACACAGTGACTATAGTGAAGACGGTTGAACTAGACCAGGAGGAGGTGATTCATAACCATAGAATTTTGAAAGGAAAGATAATAGATGCCAGATTTGTTATTAGTAGGATTTGTAGAGATATAATGGTCTCATGATAATTTTCATTATTTTTTCCTAATTCCTACCTCAGCCTGGGTCTCAGTCTAGTTCACATGTCGGAGCTCACTAATTTTTTTTTTTTAAAAAAGTGTTTGAGACAATTCTAATTTAGCAGTTCTCTTCTTAATCTTTTCAGAACAGCTTTATGTATTGAGATAAAATTTACATTCCATAGAATCTATCTATTTAAAGTATACAGTTCAGTGGTTTTTAGTGTCTTCACAGAGGACAACCATAACCACAGCAGTTTTTAGAATAACATTTCAAAAAGAAATTTGGCTGGACGTGATGGCACATGCTTATAATCCCAGCTCTCTAGGAAGCTGAGGCAGGAGGATAACAAGTTCAAACCTATTCTGGGAAACGTAGCAACTTAATGAGGCCATGTCTCAAAAAAATGTACTGGCTCAGTGCAAGGCCCTCGGTTCTCGATTCCCAGTGTCACGAAAGGGGGACTCTTGTATCCATTAGCAGTCACCTCCCCAACTCCATACACACATAGTCCAAAGCAAGTCAGTAATGTATTTAACATGTCTATTGATTTGCTGGTTCTGTACATTTCCTATAAGGGGAGTCATGCTGTTTTCATTTCAGTCTTTTGTGTCTGACCTCTTTTGCTTAGTGTGTGTTTCAGTGGTTATCCATGTTGTATGTATCAGCAGTTCCTTTTCATTGTCAAATAATATTTTATTATGTTAATGTACTACATTTTTGACTGTTCGTCAGTTGATGCACATTTAAGTTTCTTATTCATCTTCATCAGTTCTTCACATTACAGTCTTTGTAGCCTTCCTGGCAGATTATAACCTCTGTTGTACATTTTAGTAGGCCTTAGGGGTATGAAAATGAGTAATACATGGGCCCTGAGCATTTATTTAGAGCTTGAATGGATTGGGTATGTTTTCTCATGCATTATCTCATTTGATCTCACAATAACCCTATAATGTAAAATGAGCAGTTTGAAATTTGGGTCGGGAGGCTTGCACATTTAAGTCTGTGGAGCAGTAATGGAGCAAATAATTTTTGGCTTGTGTTTGTGCTGTTTCTTCTAGTATGTGCTGCTTTTCTAATTTAGAGGATCCCCACGAAAAATTCTAGAGACTTAACAGGGATTACTTACTTGAGTAGTCACTGAATTTTAATGATTAATCTTTAGCATGTCAAGACTTCAGACTTTGTCTTTCAGAACTTTAATAGGAATTAAGATGGTGATGACAATAATGATAAATAATAATGGCTAACATTTTTTGAGGCGTTACTGTTGGCACAAAAATGATGTAAATACTTTTATTATATAATCCTCCCAACTCCTAAGAGGTAGATTTTATTATCATCAAAGTGTTACAGATGAGGAAATAGGCATAGAAGGATTAAGTCGCTTGTTCAGAGGTACATAGCTAGGAATAAAGAGCCAGGATTTGAACCCTTGCTGTCTGTTTTCAGAATTTAGTAGCTCTTAATCACTGCACTGTTCTGTTTACTAGTTATAAATTAAAAGAGAGTAATATTCCAAGTAAGAGCATGACTAGGAATATGCAGATAGGATTTTACCAAAGTTAACTTGACATTGCATCCACCTTTTCTTTAAATATGGACCTAACATTGTAACATTATAGTATACAAAGATAAATGCTTAAATATTTGGGTATATTGTTTTTGTTTGTCCTTGCTAATAGTCTCTCAGCTTAGAAATCACATTGTTTTCACTGCTCTCTTGGCTTTTTAGTTGTTTTGCTTTCCATATAGTCACTATTAGGAAACCTGGGCTTGCGACAGCTAATGCTCATTTTTAACCTTTCCAAAGCCTTCTTTTAACTGTTAAATTTTTTTTCCACTTTGAACAATTAGCCTTTCAGTCATAGAGAGGGAGATAATTCTTTACCTACTCCATTCCAAATCAGAAAATACTGCATCACAGTGGCATTTTATAACAATTGTTAAAAATTTTGATGATCTTAATTGGCATAACTGGGTCTTAGTGCACAAATAATAAAAGCACAGTCTTTTGGTTTAAAGAGATTGACTTACACTGAAATTGGAAAAGGCATCTGCTGTACAGGATTTTTGATTTAATAGAATTTGTTATAACCAGATCAGCAAAGCATTATTACTGTGGACCATCTGTTGGGATATGGAAGTAGCTTTGTTACATGGAACCAGATGTTATACTTATGTTTTTAACAGCATTCTATGTATTTTAAGTACATTTTGTTCTTAGATACCTTCTACTGTTATTCTACTTGACATACATACTAACTGATAACCTGAGAATGTGATGTTTTTCAAGTGTGATGTTTTCTATAGAATTAGGATAAAATATATGAGACACAGTAATTCATGTGATATGAAACTTTAGTACTACGAGATAAAAGATAAGTATGAATATATGTTATGGGACAGTAACATAGAACCCAATTCAGTAAGAACTCTTACTTTGACACCATTGATAGGCTTAGATTCAAATAATTTCTTTCCTTTTTTCTGTTTAAAATTTTTTTGTTGATACTGAGAATTGAACTCAGAGCCTTGTATATATGAGACCTGTGTTCTGCCACTGAGCTACATCCCACTACCTCCCCTGCTTTCTTTTTTATTTAATTTGAGACAGGGTCTTGAGATACGTTACCAAGAGTTTCCTCAAACTTTTGATCTTTCTGCCTCAGCCTCCTGGGGTTATAGGTATGTGCCACCATGCCCAGCTCTAATAATTTCTAGGTTACTTTGGTTGCTTGAAGAATTTTATTATAAATCTAAAGTGATTTCATTTTGGTGTAATTAGACCTACATTAACACTGTACTGACTTATTTCCCGTCATTAAGGGGTGAAGTAGTCTGTAATGAACGCAAATTTTCAGAGTGTAATTAGACGAGCTAATGTTAGAACATAATCATAGAGACTTTTTAGAGACTCCAAACACTATGTTGTCTATTTTTTATTATTTTCAAGTCATGTGTAGAGAGAGATGGTCACAGATTCTGTTAAAAACTTAGCCCTACCTATGATGACCCTGTAGGAAACTACATAATCAGCTGACTTTAGTTTTGACCTGGGGTACAAAGTTAAAAGCATAACTAAATTTTTCCTAGATAGAGTCCTTTTTTGGGTGGGGATGTATATTAGGAATCAAACTCAACCTCTCGCTTGCCCACCAGGTGCTGTGCTGCTGAGCTATATCCCTGGCCTAGGTAGAATCCTGCTCAAGTGACATAGTGTCAGATTGATCACCTAATTGATTGAATTTTGTGCTGATGTAATTGTATTAAAAAACCTCAAAACTTGGAATCATTTTCTTCCCATGTTTGAGGCCTAACCTTTCTTTAATAACATTAATAGGACAGCTTTCTAATAACTGAGATTTACAAGAGAAATAGATGAGGGGGGTAGACAGCTAGAATTCAACTAAGAAAGTTTCAAATTTTGTTTGCTTAGAAATGAGATTGGAGTGGTATATTGGAAATAGGTTATTGTTAACATGCTAGATTTTGGCTGATGAATATACAGGTATTAAATTATTAAAAATAACTTTTAAAGGCGTTTGTGGCTTGGCTGTACACTTCTGGAAATTATTTAAAGTGACAGCAGCCAGATACCCAGCTACTGAGAGTTCTGGACCCTCTGAAAGAAGCTGGAACACAGTGTTGAGAGCTATTGTACCCTTTGAAAGAAGATGGAACAGTGTTGTAGCAGGAAGTGAATGACATGGCGTTGGTTTCTGCTGGTGTGGTTATGTCTGTGAATCTGTGACATACTTAGGAATAGACAGGTAAAATGTGTTGTAGATGAATGGTTTTGTTTTATCATGTATTCATGGAGAGCAGCCACCAGAGAAATGCTGTCTTTACCAGTCAGAGGAAACCTTATTGAATGTTGTTT